AAGGGATCCAAAATGGAACATTTGACTCGAAAATCAAGTGATTAGAATATTAATAGAATTAGATTAATTAGAATTTATTTGATTCATTTTGAAATAATAATTTAAACCAATTTAATAAATTAAAGCATGAATATCATTTTGAATTAATTGACTAAACCTTTTGAGAAAATGATTAAGTAAGTATTACTATTTTAATTAATTGAAAAGGTTTTGGCTAACATTTTTAAAATTTATTTGATGAAAAATACTTTAACTTAAAACAACTTTAACATGAGTAAAATATGATTAAGTAAAAAGCATTAAAGAACATCTCTTTTTAAGTACAGAAGGTTTAACTTAATTGAAGATATAAAATTTTGACCAATTTTTTGAGAAAAATGACTAACTAGAAAGATAACATTTTAGTTCATTTGAGAAAAATACTTTAACTTAAAAACCACTTTAAAATAAAAATGTGCTCAAGTGAAGTTTTTAAGAACAAAGATTTAACTACAAAATTCGACCAATATTTAATTAATGAAATAAATGACCTTAAAAAAAAGGGTATTCAAAGCAAACCAACACAAAGAAAGTAACTCGTCTTTTGGGGAATATAATTAAGTTAATTAAAATTTATAAAGTTTAGAGTTAAACAACGAACAATAAATAATCACAATTAAATAATTAAAGCGTAAGGGAGAAATTGAATTTGGGCCTTCTTTTGGGCCGATTTCGCTGGAATTTTTATCTTAACCAAATTCCCGTTTTTGTATACACCGACTATATATCAGTGTATATCAGCATGTATATCGGCTCTTTTCGTGTATCTCTTGCTTCCGAACACATGTATTTCGCCTTAGCCCTGTATTCTCACGTTTTTAGCCTGTATATTAGTCCCTAGCCTTGCATATCATGCATACCAATGTATACAGAATGTATACAACCCCTTTTGGGGCTTTCCAGAACGTAATCAGCCTATTCCTTGGGCTTTGAACACAGATGAGGCTGACTCAAAGACGGACTTCAACTCAAAGAAATGCAAGGGATGAGTCCAAAGTGAACTCAGATTGGTATCACATGTCAAAAGAACAAAATAAAAAATAAATTAGCATTTGCAGAGGAAAAAATAATAAGAAGAAGACGATTAATATTACTCTCTAAAGCATGTAACATATCAGCAAACAAATCTTTTAAAGAGAAAAAAAAATGTAATAGGCTGATAATAATGAAGGCAACCCAGTATATTAGCATTTCTAGACAATGTAAGCATGTAAGCAAATCGACAATTTTGAGCATCTAATAGCTTGAAAAGAAATAGTAATAACACTTAGTTCAATGAACATGATTAATTAAGGGAAAGAAGCATATGATAATCCATGCATAAATTTAAAGAACAAGACTTAGGTATAGAGCTAAGAAACAAAATCCTAACATCAAACTCATACGTACTAGATTCAAGTATCAAATATCCTACCAAAGATATTGTTTACCAACAATAAACCAACGATTTAACGAATTTATCATTTTTCATAAGAGACAAAATGCAACCATAACACAATAATGCAAGTATAGAGTAAGCAAATATATCAGTATCAATGTTCCTGACTTCCACTCTATACTTCCACTAAAAGACTAATTAACAAGGAATTGGCAAAATTCCTACACTATTATTGATATATGAACTAAGTGCAAGATTACAGTGACAAAGTGAAATAAAATCCAGGAGAAGAACACATCCAATAATCAACAGGAAGAAATCCAATAAATTTAGCACTAAAAAATAAACAACAACTAAGTTCTATCCAATACTAGTCATGAAGATGGCTAAAAATATGGAGCAAATCATGAGTAAGTCAAGCTTAGCCATATTAAAACATAAACAAGAATGAATCGGAGACAAACTATGATCTAAAAAATAGACCGAGGAACAAGCTTAGGATGACAAGAAAAAGAAAAAAAAACAACAACCAAGAGCTCTTAAAACACAAAGATTAATTTTGAAGAAAACCAATTTTCTTTCGACTTACTCGCACACAAACAAGGGTGAAAAGAAAAGAATGAGGAAACTTGGTAGCAAGGTTGTAAATCAAATTAATATCATGATTTAAAAGTCAAAATAGACATGGATATCATTCAAGCTATGTGAGAACCGAAATCAACTCTACGAGATTAAACTAACATGGACGAGAATCTATAAAGGTGAATCAAAATGACAGGGAAGACAACCAAGACTATAGGTAAGCAGTGAAGAAATAGAACTTATACAGCAGCATATTCAAATTGAAACCGAATGAACAACAAATCACTTCGAGCTAAGCGAGGCAGAGATTCAACTAGTTATATGGATACAAATTTGAATTATTAAACATAACGACCAACATATAATACTAAAGTGACTTCATTGATGCTTGAATCATGCTTACTGCTAAAAAATTCACAGGAAAACGATACTAAAATAAAGACTTAAAGCAAAGGAACCAAACGTTCTTAATAACAAACTCCATACCAAGTATCGAATACATAGCACACCGTATCGAAAACAGAACGTAAGAGAAGGCGAAGTTACCTTCTTTGGAGCAGCGAGCAGGGACGACCAGCTTGAGAGGGCAGCGATTCTTCCACCACAAAAGCCAAATACAAATAGCAAACCAAGAAAATTAAGCAGGGACCTTCTCGGAACTTAGAACAAGAAAGCTAAAATCAAATTTTAAGTGTAAAATTACTATTGTTAAAGAACTCAAACTCGAAACTTCGCCCTTTTTTTTTTTTTCTTCAACACCAATGGATAGGGGGTTTATATAAAGGAAATAAGGGGTCGATTTAGGAGGGAAAAAATTCAAAACTTTTTTTGAACTTTTTCCTCTTTTCAAAGGAAAACAGTAGGAAGTATGGAGGTTTCTGACAAAAGGGACGAGGTGATCGATTAGGGACTGCTAGGGTATGGCTTTTCGCAGATGATCACGTCTCTGGGTTCTCCGCGATTTTCGGTGATTTTAGGCGTGAAGAAGACGAAAGCAAGTATGGGGTGAGGTCGAGTTTGGTATGCGTTGCTGTTGTATCGTTTCTCGCGCGAAGAAGATGCAGGGGTCGTCCGGTTCTTTTGGTATTGCTGATGTTATTGTATTGTAATTGAATTGGGTTTCTTTTGTGGGAATGGGTTGTTGGGCTGGTTGGGATTGTTGTTTGGAATCAAACTTGGGCCACTGAAAAATTAAAAAGAGGCCCAAATCTGGTCTTAATTTGTCAAATTGGGCTTAAAGGGGGTTGGAAGATTTGTATGAAAAGTGGCTAAATGAATTGCAAAATTAGCCACCTTAAATTTAAAATTTAGCCGATTGAGTTAACTTGATGACTTCGGTTAAACTTAAATAAAACAAATTAATATAATTAACTAATGAGTTTCTTAATCTTAACGAAATAAAATAATTAATTTACATATAAACCAAATGACTTAGAATTATAACTATAGTGTAAACTAAACTAGAATGAAAATAAAATCCTTTTGAGATCATTTTTGAATATTCATAAAATATACTAATTATATACATAATTATGTGAAAGATATATATTATCTAAAAACAATTATAAAAGTGACAAGACTATTTAAAATAACCTGCGAACTATATTGTTATTCTTATTATTATTTATTTATTTGAAATTTTATAAAACTAATTATTTAAAATCATTTGAAATTGAAGAAGCTTGATGATTAATCTATAATGTGGAGGTCAAAAATTGGGTGTCAACAGGGGTAAAAGCTAGTCCCTCCGTCTCGCGTTATTTATCTACTTGTTTTTTTACTCCTCTTAAAAAATTAAAAATAAAAAGAATATTTTTATCTTTTATCAATTTTTAGTTCACTCTATATGTGTGCGCTTTAAGGGGTAAAAAATAAAAAAATAAAATTAATTTTGTAATTTAATAATTTGAAATGAATCTTTTTAAAATGTGGACATAAATAATAGACAAGTTAGAGGGATAATTGAGAATCCGGCTCCTCTCAATTTTCTTTGTCTCCATTTTTCCTAAGTTCTAGTTTTGATTAATGACATATGGCATAAGTTAGATTTAATGGTTAAGATTTAATTAATTAAAATATATTTCTAACCATGATTTAGATAATAAGAATGTTCATACAAGTAAAATAAATAAATCTTGCTGATCAGATGTTCTCTTTTTTAACTTAAAAAAACAGAACTAATTTTTTAAAAAAATGAAATGCCTTAGTCTGGGCTCAAACCTAAGCATCTAAGGCAAAATTTAAATCGTCTTAACCTTTCTTTACCATATCAAGTCATGTCTTCAACAATTAGTTATATCCAAAAATATTACTTCTTTCGTCCCATTTTACGTGAGGTAGTTTGACTCGACACGAAGTTTAAGAAAGAAAGGAAAACTTTTAAAATTTGTGGTCCAAAATGAATGATATAAATTTATGTGGCTGTAAATCATTTTATTAAGGATAAAATATATATTTTATAGTTAAATAGTTACTTAATATAAAAATGTGTCATTTTTTCTAAAACGGATAAAAGAAAAAGTAAGTCATATAAATTGAGACAGAGGGAGTAATGTTTAACAACTAACTGATGGCTAAGTGTAGCTCCGCACTTGCCTAAAGTTTGTCCAAGTTATAGCAACTAACTGATGGAATTGTTTCAAGTGACAGAGGGTCCACACATCGTGGAATTTCAACGAAAGGAGGCCAAGTTCTTGGTGGATATTTCAACAAAGGCGGCCATAATATTCAGTTTTAATTTGTTTAGTAAGGGAAAAACGAAAAAATTAAATTAATTTTGTAGTTTAACAAATTATTTGGAATAGATATTTTAAATGTGGATAAATTATAGACAAGTTAGAGGGGTAATTGAGACTATAGTTTATTTATTAGGAAGAAAAAAGGAAAAACGCGTGTAAGTTTAGAAGTTTTACATTTTGTTGACTTTATATATATAACTCTCTACATCAAACGATATAGTATTACATTTCTAACTCAATTTCACATAACTAGACTTAATTCCAAAAATGGAGCCATGGCAAGACCTTAGTGGAAAAGTAGTAATGGTGACGGGTGCGTCATCAGGAATCGGGCTAGAGTTCTGTATCAACTTAGCCAAAGCCGGTTGCAAAATCATTGCTGCTGCTCGTCGTGTTGACAGACTGAAATCTCTCTGTGACCAAATTAATAGTAATTCAAACGGACCTCAACGTGCAATCGCTGTTGAGCTTGATGTCTCTGCTGATAGTACTACCATTGAGTCTGCTGTTCAAATAGCTTGGGATGCATTTGGACGTATTGATGTCTTGATTAACAACGCCGGTGTTAGAGGTACTTGACTATTATTAGTAACTGTGTCACGTAAATTAAGACAAGATAGAATAATTTAATGTTATTGTTGTATAGGGAGTGTGAGCTCTTCAGTGGAAATGACAGAGGAGGAATGGAACAATACATATAACACAAATCTAAGAGGGGCATGGATGGTTTCGAAATATGTTTGTAAGCATATGATCGATGCTAAACAGGGCGGAGGATCTGTTATTAATATCACTTCAATGGCTGGTTTAAATCGTATAGCAGTACCGGGTACTATTGCTTATGGTACTTCAAAGATGGCTCTAGACATGGTCACTAAGGTAGGTTCATTCAATTGAACAAATGAATTGTTATTTATGATAAATTAATTGATTGATTACATTTTAAATGACAGATTATGGCGATTGAATTGGGTGGAGAGAATATCAGAGTGAACTCGATATCACCAGGAGTTGTCAAATCAGAGATAACAGAGGACCTTGTTAAAAATAAATGGTTCCATAAGTTCCTTTTGAGAACTCTTCCTCTGAAATATCTTGGAACTAATGATCCGGCTTTAACATCACTTATTCGATACTTAATGCATGATTCCTCTGAATATATAACAGGCAATGTTTTCATCGTCGATGCTGGTGCTACCTTACCGGGTGTTCCTATTTTCTCATCGCTCTAGCAAGAACTTAGCTCATGAAGTTCAACAAGAAATGGACATGTAAGAGAAATACTGTAATAATGTTGGTTTTTTCTCCTTTATTGTATGTTGAATTCTCGAAGCAATCGAAAATGTTTCTTAATACTTAGCCAATGTTGGAGTGTTTGCGATTTGATTTGGGTCAGTTTTTACTTGAAATTAAAGTTTAATTGATCGTAAATTATTAAGATCAAACAAATTTAGTTAGTTTTAAAATTATTAAAAGCATTTCAATTTTAGTAGATTTTTAAATTATTAAAAATCAAACCAAATCAGATATAATAGACATTAATTGATTTGATTCGTTTGTTCGGTTTTTAATTATAAATAAATATATACCCTTTACATAGTTTTCTACTTAGTACTTACATTAAACAAACAAATAAAGTGATAAGATTTTTATTAAGTAAATGTAACATCATTCATTAAAATATATTTCACTAATAAGAATTGGAGGCTTACAATATGAATGCATTGACTATATGATAATTTTTGTATGCACCATTTATTAGACAATAAAGATAGGCTTAAGTCATTTGTGACTCCTTAAAGTTGTATGTATAATTCACTTAGACATCTTAATAGACCTTGTTTTCTATTAGACACTCCAATCTTAAAAAATAAATATCTATTGAACATTTTTCTGACACTTAGTCTAAAGAGACGGTGTGTGTAATACACATGCATATGAGGTGGCAAAATGACAAATCAAATGAAGACACTGTTAGGATCGTAAATAATTTGGTGTAATGCGGAAGCTAGCAAAGCAAACCTCGAAAGACCACGAGTAAGAAGACAAACGAGAAATATACCAAAAGACACAAAAATTTAACGTGGTTCGGTCAATCGACCTATGTCCACAAAAGAGATGAGCAATCACTATATAAACATGAGAGTACAAAATATAGAGAGAAACAACCTCAACCAATTCACTCAGAATACATGGGAGGTTCACACAAGTGATAACGTATCAAGCTTTTGTCCCACAAATTCTCCCTCTAACCAAAACTCTCAAAGTCCTTAAGACTACATTGTGAATGCTGATTAAGTTAGAAGGAACAAGTCTATATTTATAGAGTCCTAAACCTTTCCTACAAGAAAATGACTAGCTACTCCTAAACCTTTTTCTAAAAAGAAAACCTATTTATAGTAAGAAATTCAAGGCAAATAAAACCCAACAAATCTCCCCCTTGGCCTGAATTTCTGACAAAATAAATTTGTCCATCTTCTTCACATAATCTTTAATAGTTTGCTTCTCCTTTCCATAATTTCCTCCATCAAATCTATGTCTCAACACAGAGAATCTCTTTGAAACAATTTCTCCAACAAAAAACTTCATTACTGTCAAAAAAGTTGCGGCTAGAATTACATCCGTCAAGATGAACACCCATCTCTACCTGGCTCCATCATTGAACCATGGCTCTGATACCACTTGTCTCTATGAGTATCTAGCATGACTTCATCATAACCTTTAGGTTCTCCCATGTCAGTCAAAAGGATACACTCATTAGGAGAATAACGTGTTGAGCTTCGCTTCTCTCTAGTGGATCTTCTACAAGAGATTTCTGGAGCATCCAAATTTGTCATCTCAGCATTAGTTGGTTGATGATCAACCACAACATCACCAATATGAACATCTATAGGTTCTACACCATGTTCATTATCTTGGGTTCCTTCATATGCAAAAGATGTATCAATAATAGAAACTGGATCTGTTTTATTTAAAAGATATATACAAGGAAAAATGACATAGTTTTCGAAAAAACCGATTAAACTTATGATTTAAGAGAAATCGAGTTTCCAAAAGGACAGAGTCGCCACTTAATTTTTTTTTAGTAAAAATCAAGAAAAAAAGCTTAAGATTTTCAAAAGATTTAAACAGATAAAATCAATTGAAAATAAAGTGTTCGAAGTTCAATATACATTGCGAGAAGGTGTTAGGCCATCGGAATGCCCACTAACTTGCTGTTGACCGGCGATTTGATTAAAATCACTTTGACTAATTTTGAGAAATTTAACATAAGATTATTTAAATAAACTACAATATTTAATTAATTTTGAGAAAATAATTAGATAAACGACACATTTTCTTTTTTAGAGAAAAGAATTCAAAATGACACATTTGGCTTGTGATACAAGTAATTAGAATTTCAATAAAACTAGATTAATTATAATTTATTTAATTCATTTTTTAAAATAATAATTTGAACCAATTAAAGAATGAGACCATTTTAAATCAATTGATAAAAAGAGAACACATACAATTTTATTTTTATTTTATTTTTTATTATTTTAGTTCATTTGAGAAAAATGTTAACTTAAAACCCTTTAAATAAGCAAAATGATTAAAGGAAGAGGCATTCAAAACATATCCTTTTAAAAACAAAAGATTTAATTAAAATAAAATATGGCCAATATATTTGATTAGTAAGATAAAATGAATACAAAAACAAATATAAGAATGTATTAAAGGTAAGCCGATGTAAAGAAATTAACTTATCGTTTGGGGAATTTAATTAGGTTAGTTAACAATTTAAAAGTTAGAGTCAACACGCAATAAACAATAAATAATCATAATTAAATAATTAAAGAGTAGGGAGAAATTGAATTTGGGCCTCCTTTTGGGCCAAATTCGCTGAAATTTGAGAATTTAATCCTAAACCCGTTTTTGTAGATATCCATTGTATATCCGTGTATATCGGATGTATACAGCCCATTTTTCTGAGATTTTAGGACCTGTATTTCAGCTTCCGACTCATCCTTTATTTTTCGACCTGTGGCTGCTGTGTTTTAACCTGTATATCAGTGTATATCTATGTATACTGTTGTATACAATATGTATACAACCCATTTTTGGGACTTTTTTGGTGCCTGTTTCGGCTTCTTTTTCACCGAATATGAGGATGACTCGAAACAATTCGGGAATATGCAAGAGGGGAGTCCCAAGTGAACTCGGCCAATATCACATGTAAACAAAGTAAAGAGAGAAAAAAGAAAATAAAAATTAATTAATAGGGTAAAAGGAATATAACATTCAAGGGTATCAACAAGCAATTTAGTACTACCAGTAAGTAGGGGAAGATGCAAATAGAAACTTAACTTACTCTTAAAATAGGATAGCAACATATGCAAAGAAGATATCAATTAATCTACCCACTACCAAGACGAATCTATTTCCATTTTTATGCAATAAAATACTACCCATTAGATGTGATCACGAGATGGACATCAACTGTATATATCTTCTAAAAAAGAATGCAAGCAAGATATGTTCTAACTGGTGCATGCATCATTAAAGGGAAATAAAGAAGAAAGAAAAAAAAATAAAAAATAAAAATAAGAACAAAAAAAATATAAGAAAAAGCTAATTAATTATACACAAACAAAAGAAAGTGATTTGACAATTTGCTAGACTTAATCTAAGCTCAACCGGAGAATTCTCAAATGGACACTTAGTCACGTATTGTATGCAAATCATGAATAACATCAAATTTAATTCATTTAAAAAATCTAAATTAAACAATCTCAAGGATAAGAGCACACACAACTTGCTTGGTGATTAACAAAGGACTTAACCTTAGACACTACACAAGAAACTAGTGGGAAAAAAATGATTTAACTTTGACAAAAAAAGTTACTGCCTCAAGGAAATAAAAATCAAACCTCACATTTCACCTCACTATTTCCTACTTAAATCACAGTAAATAAACCAACTACACATAGCTAACATTATTCGTGTTGCAACTACTCATAGCAAGGAGCAAAACAACTAGAAAGAAAGAATCAGTTTATCAGTTTTCGCTACTCGAAAATTAACTAATCTCATAACCACAAGCAAAAATTAGACAGAATGGAGGCATAGACTTGACTCAAACACACATGCTAAACAATAGTACAATCATGAGATTCGCAAATGGAGAAAACAAGTTGTCATATCCAACAAGCAATAGGCAAAACAACATACAACTTTCATACTAATCAGTTATAAGATTCAATCCTCATCTTGAAAATCCAATAACATCAATAGTAGCTTAAAGACGATGAAAATAAAGAGTACGAATTCGCTGACACTCAAGTAAATGGACGAGAAGAAAACAACAAGACAAACCCAAATGGAGAAACAACAACATCAATTACGAAACAACAAAATTTTTGAATCCACGCTAAGAGTAAATACTACAATCGATTCAAGATAGACATAGTACCAAGACACCAAGAACTCAAATAACAAACACATGAGACGAAACGAGATAAGGATGAGGTCGTTACCTTCTTCTGGGCACCAAACAGGGAACAATGAGCTAGTAATGGAGCTTCTTCCAATCACCAAAATGAAAGTGCCAACCGAAAATTCGAACAGTGGGTGAATGATTTAGATATTTCAACAATACCAACACTACCGCCCTATATTTTCCTATTTAACATTTTTGTAATATTAATTTTCTCTGTGTTTCTCTCTAAAGGTAGCCAAATTTCCCAAAATTTTAACTCTATATTTCCCGAGAATTTTCTCTAACACCCAGATTTCCAACAAAAAAAAAATCCTCCTCTCTACAAATGAACAAAGATATAATTATATAGGGGAAGTTTAGGTTAGATTTTTGGGGGGAATTCGGGTGAAATTTTTACCATTCAAAATTCGAAATCCAAAAATTCTTTCACCAAATCGGGACGACACACTTTTCCTCTGAGAATTCAACCCATTCCGTAAGAGGAAAGGGGAGAAACGCGTGCTTGTACCACTGCTACGATATTAATAATCGAAAGGGACGTGAGAAAGAAGATAATAAATCGTAGAGAACTTGATTCACGCGTCCAAGGAGTGAACCTGCCGTGTATTTCGCCATTTGGAATCGCTGTTTTCCGTCTTTTGGAATTGTTTGGTTGCTTTCCGTTTGTTCTTGTTCTGTCTAAGAACGTTTGGAGCTGGACTTATCTTCTGGGTTCTATTTTGTGAAGGAAAAGGGGAGTGGGCCGGGTCAGGTTTAAGAGTAATGGGCTGGGTCGTGGGAATTGGTGTTGGTTGTTGTTCAAGTTGAGTTGAGGGAAATAAAGGGAATGGGGTCGGTTGGTGTATGTATTGTTAGGAATTGTTGTGGGCTGCT